GTCTTCTTTTTGCCATGGGCAACCGAGTGCTCGGGAAGTTGCTAGTGGGAAATTTACTTACAATAAAATAATATGGCAATGTACCTTTTATATGAACGACGTAGTCAGGATAAACTTTAGAGGTGACATTATTAAAAATTTCAAATGTATGTTTTTTCGAAGTTAAATTAAATTGCTTCACAATCTCCTTTTCGTTCTATCTTACAAGTGTCCCATCTTGAATACCGTAGGTAGCCAAGGAAGCGGGACAAATGAACAAATTTAGATTCGGGCTAGATGTCTATCTAACTTAAAGATGGCTAATTTTGCAGAAATATAGAGTAATGCCAAAAGAGATGGTTCCTGGTTGGAAGCCTGGAGCATTTTCGGATAGCAACGACTGGGTGGGACTGACGGCGCACATGTGAGAGAACCCGCATAGAGAAGCGCAGCCCTACATAGAACTGAGAAAGTGTGTAATAAGCAAGCGCAAAGGGCTGTAGGAACGAGGGGAGAACCACTTTGTTCTCTGTATCAGCGGGTTTCTTTATTTATGCTTTACTGAGGCATGTCTCTCATATGCATCAACATAATTTAATAGTTACAGGTAATAGTTACATCCAGATCCAAGCTGGATGTATAAAAGAGACGTCTTGCCAGGAAGAAACCTAGTTTTCATTGTAATCAAGTTTCAGCTAGAGTTTTGTCCAAACGTAGTTAGAGGCTAGGCACATGTACCTATCTAATCCGATGGTGCTAGATGTTCTCATAGTAATAAGATAATAGTATATGACTAAAGGTAGAAACGAAGCTATACGCATGCAAGCGCCCGGATTCTAGAGTAGCAGTATTCTATAGAATCAATCCATAGTATTATGCATCAAGGTATAAATTAGGACTTAATTCAACGGTACTTCTTTTATTCAATTGTCTATAAAATAATCGACAATGCAGGTATCTTCTTCAAGTCACTACTTCGTTGCAACTGTCATAATCATATATGTTGGGCCTATTCCTAGTGTTTGAAGGTAGTAAATCTCTTGCAAAGTATGCTGTTGCGTATACCTGCCATGTCTAACCAATTGAACACGCATTTAGTCAAATAGGCGTAGAATGCGAGCGTGCTATCGGTGGCACGCAATTTCCATTAGGTGAAATAAAGTAGAAGAATACTTACTTCCTATCTAGTAGGATTAAAGCCATCACTTTGACTAATGCGGGCATCTGTATAAATCAATGTCATTCCCCTACTGTTAACGCTGTGCGTATGAGCTTGTGTTATGCTCATAAAAGATAATTTTGTCCATTAATGTTGCTGTTGTACAGCAGTGCTAGTATTTGCGAGCTGGGGATCAATACACCTTTCATAGCAGGACCGTGCAGTATGCTACAGTAAAATGAGTATATGGCATTGGTTTCCACAGGTATCGTCAAGGTAATATTATTGCCCTATAGAATACTCGTAAGGAGACAAGTTATTGTTGAAAACAAATAAAATGTAACAAAATAAAGAATATTTTTTGTTCTTGTTATCAAAAACCTCCACCATTCGAAAATCGATCACGATTTATATGTAGCACTATCTGATACAGTCACGCTCGTGCCTTTATTCTAGTTACGTGATCATAATAGAGTGGTGTAGAGACCTACGGTGGTACAACCTCGTCAGTAAGCTATTTAGGTTCGTAAAGAATCGTCGTAAGAAATCCATCGTAAGAATTAACCTTGGTTGGTCCTTGCTTTTGCTATTATGATAAGTTGCAAATGTTCATACTGACTGTAGTTTAAGATATGATTCGTATTTGCCTGCGCTTTGACGGGGCAAACAAGAGTCCTTGATCCTTTTCTATAAGACCTGCCAGCGTTGCATATGCGTCCTTTAGTCCTATGACATGGTTGTTCTTATTATTACACCGACCGACACCTTATAATAACTTGTGGTGTGGTGCTATCGCGAATTCGACCCTCCAAAATAATAATTGAATCAGACTACACTACTCGAGTGTATCCTGGCGTTGGTCGCATGGAGGAACGGGTGACCTTAATTGATACCGCTGGCAACCCTAGCATCGTCGTCAGGTTTTCTTGTACAGACATTGGCTTAGCTCTGTGGCTCAAATGAGGATTTAAACACAATGTTTCTTCAAAGGATTAACGAGACGAACAAAACAGATGAAAATGCCTCAGCCGTATGTATACCACACAAGTTCTCTATATGTTTCGAGTTATTTTTTTATACATGTACCATTATGTCCATGCAGAAGAAACACTGGATTTCCGCCTCGACTTAAAGCTAACCAGTTATATACATTAGAGAGATTGGAACAGATGGTCAAGATGAGAAGGGCGCAAATCAAGTGCGCACAATGGTGGACTTCCGCAAAATGGCGGGGGGGGGGGGGGGATACATTGCACAAGGCATACACTATGGAGCTGAAATTTATCTCGTGAGCAAGATCCGTTCGTAATTTTCCCCACGGGTTCTGTTGGTATACCAGCCTCGCCAGCCAGTTGTTGGAAAAAACGTCAACCGTTGCAAACTGAGCTGAATCCCGTAAAACGCGATTGCACGATTGATACAATTAGAGAACATCCAATTTCATACATTTTTCTGGCTAGTCAACCCAAGTCGATTCCCGTTTATCGTCGGGCGGCCTTATTCATTTACAGCCTCTCACGAAGGCAATCGATAGGACCTTGCAGTTAAACTTGTAAATAATTTGGAGAAAATTAAAATGAACTAAACTTTGTCGCCGATTAAGACAGTTTAGTATTTAAAAGCAATTCAGATTGGTCATTCAAAGCGTCTTGTGCTCAACTTTGTTTGCCAGAAATGGAAAAAAGTTATTTAAAAAGCGCGAGGAAATGCTGAATTATAGATATTACTATCACTCATCTTTTCTAGTGTTTATCTTTAGTGTTAATCTTTTACATATCATCTAAGTTATAGGATTCTACAGCACGTATGGTAGTCTATGTAGACACGCAGTACTGCTAAATAGTATTGGTTTAAATGGGGTTTACCTGCTAGATGACGTACGAGCGTGCCATAGTAGCTCGTAGATGATTAGTTCCTATCGATCTGTATAAATATCGTTTTTTCAACGATTGAGGGACCTTTCCAGACTTGAAGTCCTGCGTATGATAAGCAATAAGGCAAAGTAGTAACAATCTCTCTTTTCTGCCGTTAAAATAAAAGCACTTAGGTAAAAAGCGAACTTCCATTCGCCTAATACTATTTTTTTTTTAATTAACCCATTTCGACGGAGGTGATCTCTTCAATAGATCAGGCTTTAGCGTCCTGGCAAAACTTTCTTGCAAGTTTATTCTCGTAAGACATTTAGCGAGATTGCAGTTCTATCAATCAGCTTAATATGTATTGATTCGCTGAAGTCTACCACGGAAGGAGAATGTTTAGCCCCGAACACAAGCTAATTGATTTAGTCTTTGCAGATGTCTCCCTGTGCCGCTTCGGGCAGAAGACGAGCAGTAATCTGCTGCAGACAACCCAATTATTGCTGGAGCGGGGTCCGTAAGTAATTCATGAGGAATTTTTAAACATGATGGCTACATAGAGAACTATCAATCTTTTCTCTGCTTACGATAATGCGTACTTGCACTTATTCACCACAATCCTGTATTAAACAGCACAACCTAGGCAAAAGTTACTGACAATCGGTGTCTATTAGGGGCTGGAAAATAGACTCTGACTACCCTCAAGGACCATATGCCCGTATAACTTTTTATCGCGGTGCTTCGCCTGCCGTTCCTTACCGTGAGATCGACAAAAATAAGACAGTTGAGAAAAAACTACCAATCGCCAGCGAATTCAGCGAAACAGCTATGTATATACTTGTAAAATTCCGGTAGTCTCCTAGCTATGTGTATATAAAGTACTGAATACGTTCGTTTACTATCGCTTGTTGTGCTTCAATATTCTTGAGATAGTGATCTGCGTTCAACTCTACGCGTATACGCAGTCAGTTCCGTGCTGAAAGCCGTTTGACGCAAAACTCCAAACATCTAGTTTCCTGCATATCACACTAACTAATTCTACTCTAAACGATATTGTGGGTCTGTGATGTAAATTAGCTCATACTGTGTATGATGTGTAACATAAAAAATATATTGCCTATATGTCATGCTGTAATGTTCAAGCGGGTTTCTGATGGGGTAAAACGTCGAAGGCTCGTACCTTACTCGTAAAAAAGCAATATCACCCTAAGGGAAAAATCGTTTACATACAACATACATATAACAGCTAACGAAAGGAAGGAACAAAGAAAAAGGCCGAGAAACTGATGTCACTGGCATCACTTATGACATAGCTCATGAGTTATGTGACGAGAAATTGCGTTTTTCCATCTTAAAAGCGTACTTGAAAACTGGACCGTCCGTGCTGACGTCTTTGTAATGTGAGCTTTAGCTCGCTATGAGGACGGTGGAAAAATTTGATGGCTTTACCTTTCGGCAGAAATAAGAGGGATGCGGTTTGATAATGAGTTCTCTGTGAATTGTGACGTTGCATTAGGCGTTCTAGGCTTCGTGAGGGCACCGTCGTGTCTATTATCTATGCGAATGTTTTAGTGTTCAAAAGTAGGCTAGTGACGACTTGGTAGACAATACAAAGATCTTGGTGATTTTTTTCCCGAGGCCTTATTACAATTAATTAATTAATAGAGAAAGGGTGAATCCAAAATAAATGAAACGAAACATCTTCAAAGCTGATCTAGGACGATGTAAAATGTGTAACTGGTAACACAAAGTTTAAAGGGGGCCAGAAACCTAGCACATACCTGCTAGGTGTTAGGCTTGTAACCTTTATGGAAACAAACTACAGTAAAGAAATATTCTCACTAGCAGTTACAAAAGTAATCTTCAATCGTTTAGTACTCGACGATCGATTGCAGCCTAATGGATATTGGTAGGTCGAAATCTCGACAAAATCGTAAATATGGATTGGAATGGCTGAAGCAATAGTAAAAATCCTACCATAAAAAGAACAATAATGAGAAACTAACCATGTGCTGAGACGTGATAGGATTAAAATTGACGGCGGGAACCTTGCATTGCAAGACAGCCTCTATGAGCAACGCAAGAAGAATACCGTCGCGAACGTCTGTCTCGAGCGCTCCGAGATGGCGCTGAACGCCGCTCCGTGCCAAATAATGGTTGGCCCAGTCTACGTAGATCTGCAGCAAACAAAATATGTAGAAACAGTTAAATATCGTTTTCTCATGTGATTCCATCCGTCAGCGTTTTATGGCGTGGCCTTTGTCGTTGGTGGAGCTCGAACCAGAGACCCCTGACTTTGTTAGCCATTTTTTTTTTATTATGTTTGTTACAGCATAATATTAATGAACTTCTAAAAGTAACTCTAAAGTAAATGATTATGACAGCCGCGATTCAATTATCATAGAAACAACAGAACTGATATTGCTCTCACACTATTCATTCTCTAATTGGGATCATTTGGGTTCAACTCGATACGAATTGTTAGTAGACCCAAATATCGCTGAAATTCTATATAAGCAGACTACAACTAAAAGCTCAATGTGTTTATAATATAGCCATTGATTAATTGAGATCTTCATATTATCTTCAAGGTAAAAATTTCTAAGATGTTAAATCTATCGAATTCTAAACTAAATTTAACTGTTATTTATAGAAATTGCATTAAAAAAACAGGACAGCTTGTTCTTTTTATCATCTTTAACATCATTAATGGCCCCAAGAAAAATTCTAGTATACTTTGTCCCTATTATTTTCAATGTATGCTTACAAGGCTGAACAAGCACTCGGAGGTACCCTTTACGTACTGAGCGCTGCATCAAAGTCGTCAACACTTCCCGAAATGGACGTTAGATATATTTAGTTTACTTAATGTAGGGTAATCGGATGCGACATCTTTTTCTCTAAGGCCGGTTAAATCGAACCGCAATAAAACACCGTTCTATTTGACTTGTTCAACTCGAAGCGTCCTGAAGTGTTGTGTGACATTAATGAAGTAATGCTAAACTGATGCACAGCTGCTGGCTTGAAGATAACGAACAAGGCCCATTTTCGGCGCTAGGCTTTGTCGGACTCACTCAACATTTTCATAACGCAAAGCCATATGATATAGGTTAGTGTAGTCGCAGGCCTAATAATGGAAATGATGAAAAAAGCGCGTCCTTCTCACTTAAAGAAGATCCTACGTCGCAACTTCATTAGCCAACGTAGGATATGAGATGTTTACTTATTTTTTGGGGGTATTTAGGAAACATACGTTATAAGATCTGCATTGTTATTTATTTGTTCAAATGGACGCCAAACAGCTTCTGCCAGTTGAATAAGATAATCATACATCGTTGAAATATATGGCAAGTTCTTCTTAAGCGTGCAACGTCTCTAGAAGGTGAAGAACACTTGCCGAAAAAAAAACACGTATTATGTCAAAAGCGTTGGATTCGTTTGCTCATATCATATTCATAAACTTTAGGAACAAACAGAATTTCACGAAGCGCTCTACATGACACTATTGACTGGCTTTTCGGTTTGCATTGAAACTTAGCAAGGTAGAGAAGAATGATATGATCTATGTACCATTGGCACGAGATTCGTGCAGTATCCTAAAATGTGGATTTGGAAAATAGTGCCCGGAAGATGCACAAGATCAAGAGCCCGTAAATGAAGCGCTTTACGGTAGTATCTTCGAACTGCTTACGCTCCTGTTCTTCATGTCTGCTACTAAATAAACTCCAAAGGATAAAATGCTAAAGCGAGCAACAGGCCCTTGATGTCGGTAAAAATCGATAGGTCCATTACGTTTGTAGAACCTCATTGTTAATTTTGTTTCATTATAATTTGTGGTTAGTTGTTATTACTTTCGCACGAAATGGTTTCTTCGAATGAAGAACTTGCGAGGAGCTATTTGTGTAAATCCAGTTGAGATCAGTTACTCTCAACGACGATTGTAAATACTAGAGTGATACTGCACCTATGACTTGCCGTTCTCATAAAAATCCATCTATCGTTAACAGTCTTTTTTACCAGATTGAGCTGTCGGAATAGAGGTATCTAAGCGTCTGTAATGTACCAGCGTACGTTGCGAAACGGGTTCCTTCAAAGTCGCATTAACAATACAAACCTATCTGTGCATCAGCTCTTCCAGAAAAAAGACACATATAATTTTTCTGTGAAGGCTTAATGTTATGAGATCGCATTCATTCGAGGCGCAATCGTCCTAACAAAGTGAACGTAGTAAGGTAACGGACTTGTAGATTCCTATAGGGCTTAATTCGAATTCCTGCTCTGAATTCGGAATTATGCTTCTGTACGGCGTTCGACATTAAACTTATCAACTTTCAGACTCTGTCATCATGTTCGCCTACGGCACTTCAAAAACAGCATGTACACCAATCACGAGGCCTTCCCACAGATGACTGATGGCAAGCGAATCAAAGAGACTCAACCCTTGGAGCCTCCTACCAATTGCGCATGTCAATCCCGTAAATCTGACTGAGCAGCATGCGGCTATTGCGGGGATTACTGGAGCTATCCGAGATCTCCAAAAGGCCTCAATGAGTAGTTACACTCATCAAAACAGCAATCCGTCGAGGTCTTCTTCTTCTTCTTCTTCAGGTCTGATCTACGACCGGCTCGATCAAATGTAGTAACTATAAACTGTGGCCAAACAAATAAACGTTTGCTTCTCTAATTCGTAGTTATTTGTCAAAACCAACGAAGCATGAGAGCCGGACAATATCTCTGATAACCAACCTTTTAGGTTGTTCACTACTCAAAATGGCTAGCCAGTAGTAATTCTGATTGCTTGGATAACAGAGATGGAACAATTTTTGACGCCGTACTCCCCATCCCCCCGCTGCCCCATATATGAATAATAGTTAATTTATTCGCCTGAACCGTCAGACCTTAACGTAATCTTAATGTAGTTCCGTTAAAAATAATCACTGACTTTGGAAGCCTTGTTGACGTTGGGCAGAGTATAACATTGTTTATAAACAGTTACAGTGCAAACGAACTTAATTTGTTTGTCGTTTCTGGTGTTCTGGTAACGTTTTATAGCCCGATTGCCTTTATGAGCACCTAACCCAAATTTAGGTGTCGGCATACAAAGATGCGTTAACACATTAGTATCTAAAATGAGGTTGATTCTTCTCGTCATCTGAAAACCAAATTTTATAAGACCTTCTATTGAACTCGATTTCTCGTCGGTTTTGAAAGAAATAAATTTGGTTTGTTTATACTGTGGCTTATCTAGGCGCAGACTAATAAGGATTCGCAAAAAACAGTAAATCAGCGTAAACACGGATTTTTACTAGTATTAAAGGTTAGGCGTTATTTTAGAACCGCTGCTAGAAATTTAGCTGATTTTCTTTATTCTGTCAGCCATTTAATGACACTAATCATGATCCCTTAACTCGGAAACTTATAACAAACACTAGAAGTTGTCTAATGATCCGTGTACAATATTCAAAATTATTGAATAAATCGTAATTTTCATGTCTAAAAAATATGGTACACCTATTTTCACGATAATCTACCATCTCGCGAATGCGTGATACCGTGCTAATGGCATAGTCACCTTTATCCAGACCATGTGGCTTTATGCTACCACAGATAATCTATTTTAAATAGTGTCACCGTTCCCTCCATCTACAGAAGAAATTACGGCAGAGTTTAATTTCCATAAATCAGGCAATTAAATCGAAATGACTTACTGCTAATATCCTTCAATGCTTTCTAATTAAAAATACCGAATTTTCACTAAAACTACAAGTGTACCAAACTTCCACTAAAAAAGTGGTAAAGTTATCTGAGACAGCACATAGATTCCACTGGACGAGCGAGGAGTCGGTAAGGGAGTCAGGGAACGAATGAGGAGGAGGATATGGTGTAGGTAGAACTTGATCGCCCCTTTAACCTTTCTCATAGCTATGTTGTCAGCCAGACCAGATACATACCGTAAACAAGCTGGGTCTGCTAATATGTTATACTTTGTTAATGTTCAAAAAAACACGCTTCCTAGAGCAGGCAGTTGGTGATGACATTAAAAACGGTCTGATACATTTTTATAGATAATCAGCCATGAATTTCATAGTGCATAAAGCTAAATGATACGATAAATGAAATGATCACTGCTTGACGTGAAGTATAGTCCTTTTCGATATAGAAAAGCTCATATATATATAAAGAGATTAAATATAGTTCTGTACTAAAGTTTAAATAATATGACGCATCGACATTTTTTGATGCATTACATTAGCTATCATGGCACACAACACAATAGGAGCTTTGCTATATGGACGTAAACCAGCTTCATTTGGGCCACCTATTGGGTAGGCCTTGAGATATTTCAGTCAATTCACAGGGGAAAAAGCCGCCAAATAAGCGGAAAACAGCCCTGCCACCAGGAATGTTGCAGTCTATGTGCAGAATATGCCGTTCAACACGTCTAGTCCCCAACACCGCCCCCTTGCATTTGAAAGGTTTACGAACCGGCTTGTACACGTGTGTACGTGCGAGGAAAATTCAGCTACTATGTTACAGGCTCCATCGATGGGTGGTAAGTAAAACGGCGTCAAAACGTCTTAGATATCTCGAGCCTTTAATCTGTCTTAATGGTATATTTCCTATGCCTTACATGTGGTACATGTGGGTAACGTGTGCAAACTTATGCATTTGCTGCATAAAAAACATTTATAAACAGTTGAACTTTGGTAGGACTATAAGTACGGCGTTCAGGGTTTTACAGACGTTACGCTTGAGTCAGGTTTGTGTGTTAGCTTGAACTAGATAATTTGGCGCGTTAAATCAAATTATGCAGGTTATACCCCCCAAAGGTTAACTTAACTGATTATATACAAATTCGTCATTTGGACAGAATGTGAAACTGGGTACGCAGTCCGGCAATTAGCGGCAGCTTTGGGGTCATGCTGTTTCAGTTATGATTAACACAGAACATCGGTCCATAGGCCGACCCAAGAATACGTAAATAGTAAATTGTTGACTGATGTCTTACATACCTCAACGATGGACTTCTGTTGAGACTTTGCTTCCATGTTGGCCTTCGTTCAATAGGGAATTCAGCCTTCTACCTGAAACGAATCGGTAAGTATTTGTACTGTGTTAATGGGTCCATTAGAATGGCACACGATCAAAGTATTAGTGACACAGTTGGACACGAACTAACATGAGATCGGTATCATCCATGCATGAAAACGTCCACTGGTCCCATACTATATTCTATTGCTTGAGGTTATTTCGAACGATTTGTTTGCTTTATCACTGTCAGTGAATCAACTTATTTGTATCATGCTTCTTATACAATACCATCTGATTTTTTTTGTCTACGCGCAGATGTCGCCGGAGAGTAAACGTTCAGTAGAGCGTTACCGAAGACCTCGTTGAAAAGCTTAAATTACTGCTGACACAGTCATTTTGTTGAATATAAGATAACGAAATATTGCATTGAATCATTTGGCTACTTAATAATTGAGTATACTGTACCTTTACAGAGAGATGAACTGAAGATCTGCTATGACTTCAGTTGTGTTGGCAACATCCCCCATCAACACTCATTGGCTTTAATTTGGCCCACCCGTAAAGCCACCCTCAATTATGAGTGGTCCGCGTTTTCAGATGACGATGTTATTACATTAAATTTACTATTAATCGTATCAAGAAACTATTGTACATGGACAGCTTCACTATTTTGCCGCAGAAGCACCCGTACAGCAGCCCGTCACGGAAAATGACTCTTGATGCGATTGCTGGTATGCCGTCATAAAAACAACGAGCTCCCATTAACGCTCTGCCCCATTACTTAACCAAGCCGCGCTAAACCCCTGGCGTTACCCTCACTTCCCGAAGTCGGCGTATTGCAAGCACCTACCTGCACGTCGTAGGGCTAGCTTTGAAGGCGCAAACTGAGCATATATTTTATTGCTAGTAAAGCTTTTCATATGTCGACAGTTTTTCTTCGAAAATACAGGGCGATTAATATTCCGCCCGGTAAGAACGCCTTGGATTATTCTTTATTTGTTCATCTCCTAAACTCGTGTGTTTGCCCTATCGTGTCATGCGCATTTATTTTTGAGTCGACAGATCGCTGTTGCAGAGGCGCTTCGCAGAAAGCGGAACGATATAACCAACGAAGCCTTTCCAATTGCATTACTTTTATCGTCTATGGCGCATTGCGCCACGAAGCAAAATGATCACGAAAAATTGTCATACACCATACATTTATGAAGGCAAACGTTGCTTCGTTTGCCATGGAGAAAGTCACCTAGGTATGGAACGATATTCACTACCTACAGCCGGACTAGCTAACATTCACTATCTATAAGTTGACTCAGAAAAATATACATCTTACAAACCCGTTTCGGCCGGCCGGCCGGCTGATTTTTAGCTCTTGTCAAAAGTAAAGCGCACGAACGATGCGGGCAGACCAAAAATTATGAGTCACAGCCTAATATAGACATATTTCCATTTGACAGCATCGACCTTTGCAGGAAATTTGAGACACGATTCAACAGAAAAAGGGCTCTTAGCTCGTTTACTGATACGCCTTTAGAAGTGCTCGCAACCTTCAGATGCCTAGGCTGCCTTACAGGTTCGACCGTACTGTAATAGTACGATATTCCAAGGAAATTTATCATTTGATGATTCGTGAGTCATTCACATTCAAAATAGCCAAATATAGCAATATAATAAATAAAAAATAACCAAAATAAAGCAATGCAGTGTCATTTCTGACCGCGTTATCTCTATAGGTCTGTCTATCAGGTGATCTTAGATGTCGCTAAAATATTACGATTTCGAATAAAAGTATTTTCTTGGCTAAAAGGAATGAACTAGCCTGGGCTGAATAGTAGCATCGAGTGATAACAAATGTTAAAACTGCCTGTTCCAAGTAGCTTATATGTAGTATATCATTAAAAATACAACTCACAAATACAAATGTTTCGTCAAACTCCTGCCACTAGACACGGCTCGTGTCTTTTAACAGAACTACCGAAAAGTAGAGCCTAGGTTTTTTAGAGCTACAATGCGAAGACTCCTAGGCACCAACTTTCACGCTGACCATTCAGCCCCAGAGCGGCCGCTGCTGATGAGATCATTGAACGGGCCGAGCTAGGTCCGTGTGTCGTCACGTCCAGCCGCTTCCTTGTTCTCTGCTTGGCTGAAGGGAAACATTGAGGCCGCGTTCCTCTCCCGGTTCGATCCAAACTGCAGTTTGTCAGCGAATGATGGCATCTACTGCTGCCGACATCTTTTTTTCTTTAGCTATACGTTAGCTAGTAGGTCTGCCGCGATATTTTTACTTTATCATGAATATTTCTCTCTATTATGTATATAGTGTACACACGATTTATATGATATGTGTGCGTGCCTCACATTGTGCAGGTTGCCTCGTTTGCTTTTGGGAGAGAACGACGGCTCCCCAAGAGTAGAAGGGCGTTCTTTCCTGCTCGTTGCTCAAGTCGAGCCTCTAGTCACCTCTGACTGTACCACGCACAACTCGAGTCTATGAGACGGGTGAGCGCTCGGCAAAGCTCCCGAGGCGACGCGAACCGCTTGGAACGCTAATCACGTTGCTAGCGTGGCCGCAGAGTCTACACGGTTAAAAGCAAGCGATTTGCGAGTCTCTTCCACTTTCGAGCCTTACCACTCTACCTGCACAATGTCCTGTCGATGACCATCGACTGCTGTGGTAGGTGGTAAAGCACTTCTTAGGAATCATTGCAATGAAATGACTGAGATCGAATGGGACGAAATAACGTGCGATCATCTTCAAAACTGTCAGAGAATGACTAGACTACCTAAATTGAGTCGAAAGGATTTTCGAGCCATGTTTTCCAGACTACAAATTCGATCCGTACGAGCTGAATTTCTGATCTAGATCAATACACAAACTGCGACTACTATACATGCATCGACTGCCCTATTCCTGCGTGCTTTTAAACAGATGAAATTAGATATATTCGATTGAGGTTTGGAGGCAAACTTCATGAGGTTTGAGAACAAACTATTTTTCCATGTCTTCGGCAAAAATAAGCCTCTGATTTCATTGTTAAGCCAAAATTATGTCTTTTACAGAGTCGATCATTGCGGTAAGCGTGAGCTAACTAGCGTAAGTGAGATCGATTGATATGGATTGAAGGGACTGCAGGCTCTTCTGAGAAGTAAAGCGGATATTGCGGCTCTGATGGCACCAGTGCAGTAGTCTGTTATCATCTCATAAACACTGTTAACCCAGTTCGTTTACACGCATAGGTTGTCGCCCCTGTCTGATTGAATCATGCAGTACCTTCACAATCATCAAACCTGTTATCGCTTGTGACATATTTCGATGCGGTAATTAGGTGAACGGAGGCCATCTTTCGATATTCAGTCGCAATCCGTGTAATGGGAAAACAATGTTCAAAGGAAACTATGAATTTACGCTACACTAACCTTTATTAAATAACGCGTAGGGTATTTGTTTAATTGTTGTGGTATAACGATGAACCAGAACAGGGTGCCTTCCTTTACAAGATCTTCACTATGCGACATTTGTATTATACAATACGGTTCAATATATAAACTGGAGATCTAGCACCCTGTCTAGCAGGGCACTTGTGTGTGCAAGGGCAAATGAGCTAGAAAAGCTTTAAAAGGATGTTTTAGCGTTGAAAGTTTCACATTCTGTTATACTACAAAGTTCTATTCGCCAGCTTCAACAAAGAGTTGCTCCACAGTACACTGAAATAGTTCGTCTCAACCAGCCGTTGTGGAAACCTGATTTCTGCTGCGAGGGATCACCAGAAAGAAATCGCGGAGGATTCTTTTATGCCCCTATAAAGAATGGCTTAACCGCTATCCATATGCGTGACAACAAAGCTGGCAAAAAAGGCAATGGTTCCTTCGCTCATGTCACGACATCGATTTTCAGCAGCGGTTAAATACGCCGAACTCCGCACAGAACTGATCCTGCATAGTAGAGTAGAGTAGACAACATAATCCAGACAGCATATTCTTATACTCTGCTGCTGATACAATTTCACGCCCATGGCGTCACGATGCAGATACAAAAGGTAGTTAAGGAGACGTAAGGCCGTAGACTTTCTATATACAAGCAAGGCCTAATACTGAGCTGGACGCCATCTGTTATTGCTACACAAAGCTAACAGTCACTTTGGGCACGACAGATCGGCGCCACCGAAAAAACTTAGTTGTTACCAACGGCTCGAACCTGGTAAGGCGTCTACGAAGCGATGCATTCATTTTGTAGGCCTTACCGACATATACCCGACACAATTGGCCCTAAGCCGACTCTTTGAATGTACGCATTGAAAGTTGGCATCGCTGACAGGCGGCTACCAGTGGCCGAGATGGTGGCGCCGCTATAGGATCAGGTGATCTAACGGCTTCGTCTAGGATAGCAGGGTATGGGCCGCTAAGAAATACTGGACGTAGTGATCCAAAGGATGTTTGGGGTAAGGGCAGGGAACGGTCGTCGTATTCAGACGGCAACAATCTAGCTTGCAGAATAGTCCGTAGACATAATTTTCAGTTTCGAAATAATAAATATGACCGATTCGATTTGCAGGCCTCTCCTGGGCATAGGCAAATAGACGCATGTACAGAACCCATTCTCGTGGCAATTGGGTGTGATAAAATTCTGCAAACAACCCTTGTTACTCAATGTCTGAGATGCTCAGGGCAGTCAAATTGGTTAGCCATCGCTATTGATGCACTAGATTTAGTCAAGATCAGTCCTTTGTCAAATTAAGTAGTTTTTTTTTTCGCGATGTAATGGAGCAAAAAATGTAATGGAGCTGTAAAAGTGCAGCTCAGTGTCGCATACAAGAACGACCCCTGTGCAGTTCTGTTGTAAAATAAGAGCATCGTGTGCCTTTACTAGCTCTAGCCGTCCTTGAAGCCAATTATAAGGCGTAATTATGATTATGTTACGTGTCTAATTATCATGCTAGATATGATATCAGTTCCATTTCTTCAATAGCGTCGCGAATATAAGATGACCTTCGCTTTATTACGTGTCTCTGTTATTAACGGGGCGATGCGCCTAAAACTTCAGCATGGTAGCCATAAAGTTACTCAACTATTGTGGCTACACTGAGTACCAATGCCTTTATAACAGCTCACGAAACCGTACAACATTTAGACCCTTAATTACAGATAGAATTAAGTTGAGGTTGATTGATCCGAGTGTGTAAAACGGCACCCGACGGGTGCATCCAGCACTTTAAAGATCTTATAGAACGTATTTGGAACCTAATAATCATCATCATAATCATAGTTACGCTAACCCAAAATACAGATTTGCCTATGCCAGCCTGACGGCAATTTCCATTAGTTTAAATAGTAGACTAATGGAAATTGCCCCCACACACTTGAATGTTCACTAAGCATCATTGTCACACATTTATGTTCTTTGCTCTCTTCATTCCCGCGTTTGATGTTGCTGGATGAATTGACAGGCCACTGGGCTTACGAGTCAATCCACAGTTATGCCATTCGATCAGAGGACCGCATTCAGAAGATACGTAGGACCCGTAATAGAAATTAGTAAAGCTGAGACCTAAGTTAATTGTTCGCTTCGTATTATGAAGTAATGTTAGTGATACATGAAGACGTAAGGTGATGATTACCACCAACTTCCTGCCATTTTCCTTGAATTTCGTGTAGGCAACATATGTAACAACGCTAAGAAAGCACGTTTAAACCGTTCTTCAGTAAACGATATCTCTGAATGATAAAACAGTGCTTCTGAGAAAGTATTCGTTGCTCAGGGAACTTTTTGAT